AGCCGCGTCCCGAGGCCGAGACGCAGCCCTCGCCAGCCCCAGCCCCGCCAGCACCGTCCCAGAGCCCCAAGCAGGAGGAGAAAAGCCAGGTGTGATGGGCCGGCGGCCGCACGCTTCCCCGCTGCTCTGGCCGGGCGTGGTGCCCCTCGGAAGGGGAGAGAAGTGGGCAGATGGGGGTGCCCGCGAGTTGGGCCGCAGCTCCGGGGTCACGGTGCTGACCCTTGGCTCGTGATAGCTGTAGGGCCGTGGTAGCAGCCGGGGGGGTGTGGAGCCACACGGGTGTCCAGCGGGCCACCGTGGGAGGCGCGGGCGTTGCTGCAGAAAAAAGCAGAGTCTTGGCAAATAGTTGTCTGTAGCATTTATTTCTCTGGCCACCAGAAATGAGGAAACCCATTCATTCCCTTCGCTGGTATAGAACTGCTTTTTCCCTAAGTCAGTAGAGGAAAGGTATTTCGTTTCATTTTTTTTTGCTCTGTGTTGTCTTTAAAAATTTAACTTTCTCAGCAATACAGTTATCTGTGCGTAAGACAAGGAGTACAGGCTCTCTCTCCTGTTACTAGGGGAGCATGTGGTAGGTGCAGGCTGTGTGGGAAGCCAGAAAAGTTGATGTGAATAGAGATAAACTTCACAACCAGTGGCCACAGCTTGCAAATTCACTGTGGCTGAGGGATGTAACCCGGTTTGGGAGTCCACAAGTTCTGGCCTATTTTGTGGGAAGAACAGGGTGGGTGTGATGAGGGGCAGTGGGGAGTGGTTTGTGTATGTTAGCGTTCTGCTGTCGGTGGAGGCGCTGAGCGTCACTGGGTTGGTGTGAGCCCTGAGGTGTGCAGGCAGATCTCCCCTTTCCACGACCAGTGCTGTGTCTGCCAGCTCCACAGCCACAGGGAGCGGGCTGCCTGCCTGTGCTAGGGGTTGTGCTGCTTCTCTGAGGCTGGTGGCTGTACTCTGTCAAATCCTCAGCACAGAAAATGCTGAACGCCGAGTTTGATGCCGGCTGAATTATGGTAGGGAGACTCTATTGTGTTGGCTGTATTTATTTCTAAAGAATTTTTTTAGGACCTTTGCGTTCCTGAAGGGTTTCTGCTAGCTCATCAGATGTTGTACTTCCTGGGGATTGCTGGCTCAGAAGAGTGCCTAAATTATTCAACTCTGTTAGCGTGAGCTGGAAAGGGAACTTTTCAGGGCATCTGGACATGTTTGTTGTGTCATGCCTAGTCCTGACTTTGGTACCTGTGAAAAGTGACTTCCGTGCAACACAGAATGGGAAAAACACCAAGCAGTAGTCTATAGATAAACAGGTCACAGTGCTGGCCTTGTGACCTTGGTGTCTTCTGTGGTTAATGTTTTAGATTTATGCAACTTTCTTTTATCTCTGTTTAGATTTCTCCATGCTCGAGAACAGCTCAGTTCTTGTTTTGCTGCAGATCTTATGCGAGCACCAGATGGGAATGACTTGTAGCTTTCATCTCATCCGAGACTGGATCTACAGCTTGTCATGTTAACCAGACTAGTAATTTCTTCCACAGCAGCCAGTCTGTCGGTGCAGAGCTTGGCACCATGGCCCACTGAGGCACCAGAGGTCTCGATCCTGTTTGGTTTTGTGGAAATTTCCCGGTTGATTTTTAACAGTGGCATTGATTATTTTCTTTTTTTTCCCCTCTTCAGAAATTGTGCAATGAAAACTCAAAAATGTTTCTTTTAACTAAATAACTTGCAAAATACCAAAATTTTAATGTAGTGCTTTAGCAGCACAATGAAAAGCAAAAGTAAAAGTTGTGCAATCGTTTGGTGTGGGTTCAACTGCCTTTCTGTTATTAGAGCAGTTTTTAATTGGTAGCAAGTGGTCTCTTAGAACTGTTTAAAAGAGAACATCCTCAAGTGAATGGTTTCAGCAGCTGTGAAGTGTAGGTGAGGCCTAGGATAAAGCCTGAGTTTATCATTGGTGAGACAGCAGCAAGGAAACGTTGCTCTCTTGGAGGTGAACTATGGGTTTTTGCCTCACCTCCTCAGGTCTTTGCAAGCTCTAATGATGTGTAAAACTACTTCAAAGAAAAACAAAAAGTGACTTCATATTTGAGCAGAAGAATCAAGAGAATTCAAATGAGAGAGAACAGCCGCTTATGGCTTTGGCCAGTACCTCAGCTTTTCCACATTGACACTCAAGAGGAAGAGGAGGTGTTTACAAAGACCTTGTCTTTCCGATTGTTTGAACTGATCTTGTTTTCATAATTTCAAGGGATAGCATTGGGCAGCCTGAATGTATTTAATTTCCTCTTTCAGCTGAAGGTTTCTTAAATTTCAACTTGATGTAGTGCCAGTATCTGTGGTTCTGCAGAAGGCTAACCAGTAAAAACGAAGTCAAGTAGAACAAAGTGTGGCATTTGTAACTGGCTGTCCCTTGTAAGGCCCCGATGAGGAGTTATAACTTTGCTTGATACAGAACAAATTGAGGAAACCCTGGTTCTAGTTTGAGTGCAATAATGGGTGCATATGTAGGATCATTCAGATTCGTTCCTACAAATTTAAGTCTGTATAACTTCAGACAATTCTGCCTTTTTTTTTTTTCCAGACTCCATGAAAACAGAAGGCCAGTTGGAATGGCAGTCAGCCTAAGTGGGTGAGTTTATTTATAAAACTGACTAACTTTGAATCTTAAATATTTGCAGATTTGTTAAATACAGAATTTCTTATTGGTGCCAACAGCCTGACTCCGTTGGTGTTTAAGTGGAGCTCTGGTATTCTAGTGCATTCTTTTACCTCTGCTTCTGTTGCGTTGCAAGCTGTGCTAGAGAAGACGTAGGAAATTCATTTTACCCAATCAGCAATTGTAACAATGGACTACAAACCTGCAGAGCAAGCCAGTTTGCTGGAAAACAGGAATTCCTGCAGCGCAGCACTTGCCACAGACTATCCAAAGAGGGCAAAGATTCAGGAAGGTGAATAAATTGAACATTGGTTGAATGAGGTCAGGAACAGTCTCCTGGAGGAGAACCCTGCCCTAAAATACTACTTTGAAAGTACAAACCATTTTAATGTGCAGATTAACCATTCTTATTTGAGCAAACTTGCGTGCAATCCTGGATCTTTGCAGATCACCACTGGACACTTCAAAAACCTGTGTACTATATTTGTTTTCAATACAATAAATCACAACTTGTCTTGTTACAGCTGTTACTTTTACCATTTCATTGAGAATATCTGCAACATAAATGTGTGTTTGACTTGAAACAGTATCATACATCTGGTATAATAACTCAGGTTGTCAACAGAATTACTCTGTGAGGCTCAATATCGCCTCTCCATTCTTTTTTGACAAATACATTAACCATTGCTGTCATTGCCAGAAATCAGTTGTCGCCCCATTACGCATCACAAAATTCTTGATCGAATATAGTAATTGACCTAAATTATTATTCTGGTATTATCCTTGTAGAATACTGAAGATCCTGAGCATCAGACTAGACCTTTGTAGTCTGGTGTTCATGAAAACCATATTCATTGGTTCACGGTTTAATCATCCTACATTTCAGTATTTTGTTTTCTTTTCCTTTTCCCTTGCATACTAGGGAGTATGATCAAGGTAATACTGTGATCCAGTAAGGCGCATGATGGTAAGGGTATGCCTTTAGTTTCAGGAAAAAGCTGCCATTATCTGCTCTCCTTTACCTTTCTTGATAGTTTCAATAATATGCATAACATGAAGTGTTTGTAAATTGATACTAAACTGTTCGTGACTTCACCTAAATAAATTTTTATATATAAATGCTGTTCTTGTTCTCCCTTGTTCTTATATTGCCACTTCCTCTTTTGTAATAGCTTTTTTCATCACCTGACCTCTTAGAAAATTTCTGGTTGTCAGTTATTAAAGCAGAAATGAATCTGAACTATCAACAGAAAACAGATCAGTCTTTGAAGTTTGCTTTCAGTATTTGGCATAAAGACTTGATCATGTTGTAACTGTAGTTGTCATAGCTTACTCATCTTTTCCAGTTGTTGAGACAGTGACAGGTATCTGGCCTTGATCTGTCTGAAAATGAAATAGCTGCCGTACGAAAATAGAAGTGTTTTAATAGCCCTGAAACTGGGACTCGGGTCCACTTTTCAATATATGCATTCAATACAGTAGAATATAGAGCACTTTTATAGATGGAATTACAAGTTATAAAAATAACTTTCCGTTTTCAGAAGCTGCTGAAGCGCAATGATCAGATCAGTCATGCCATTTTTCCCTTGCCCTGTTTTGTAAGAAATCAGAACTTTGTCATTCACTGGTCCACGATGGGTTTCTTCACCATCATTGCTACACATGAACCACTGCAGGAATGGCTCTGATAGTGGCAGGATTTGAGGGGGGGAGGGTGGTGGATGTGGAGCAAGGAAGGCTGAGCAGACATTGGTCTCCTCAGTCCCACTGATGAATTGCACAGGTGTGGGTCTTAACCTACTGACTCAGAGGAGCAAAGCAGCAACAGTTTTGTTTTTCTTGTCCCATTTGGGAGCAGCATACCCAGCTGGAGTCTGAAGCACTTCCTAATGTTCTTCACTGAGTTGTTCTGCTAAGAATTTGTTGGGTTTGTTCGCTACTCTCTCCAGCCTTCATACAGTCTGGTGCCCTTCCTGGCACTCTGTCATCTCCCAGTTTCCTGGTTGCTACTGGTGCTGGGTTGGACCACCCTGTCTTCTGTGTCTGCTGCAGACAATTGCCAGGGCTCTGCCTTGCTTTCCAGTGTCAGTGGCTGCTTTCAAATTGCTGCCTGCTTTCATAAAGAAACTTGCCTTTCAGATTATTAGCAGTGGTGTTTTTACACACGCACCCCCATCTTTTGGAACTTGGCCTTCCTCACTGTCTTTGAGGCACACAGCAATTTCACTGTGGTACTTGTGCATCCTTGCTTGGGGTTTATCATAGAAGGTGTTGTTTCCCCCTCATTGCTGTGCCGTAAGATTCTGCATGAAATTTCCTTGTCCATTAGTTTCTCATTCAATGGGCTTCTTCACATTCCAACAGTTAGTTACTCTGGGTTTGCATGTTGTTGACACCAGGTGAGTCTTTGCTTTACAGCTCTTGATGTCTTGTCCTTGTTGGGTCAGTGTGCTGGCAGTGTTCAAAAGGGTGGTGCAGAACTGTGTATCTTCTGTTCATCTCCTATTTATGAGATTTCTTTCAGCGATTATAAGCTAAACTTGCTGTCATTTACATGGTATGGCAGGCAGCACGGAGGTGCTGAAGATGTCTGCTGTCTGAAAGGAGACATAGAGGACAAGCCTTAACCCTTTAACTAAGTGGTGTGTGAAGATGGAGCATAGAGTTGGTGAGAGGCTTTGTGTTGAATCATGATTCTGTTACTCTTTCAGTAATGATCTGCAGTGGACATCAGTGATACACAGGAATTATTTTTTTTAATACTACTTCTGTAAGCCCTATTACTTAGCGTGGGGGGGGGGATACCACCTTTTCGTTGCTGCAATTTCTTATGATTTTTCTAAAAAAATGTTGAGCATTTTTACAAAGTTGCATCAAAACTTTTCACCAAGATTGATGGAATTTCCAGTTGGTAGGATTAGTACCTTATGGAAAAAATAGTTTTGTCAGTTGAAATAAGTAGCATGTAATTTTGGTGAGTAATTTCAGATAAGTTTACTTTTACGGATTTCTAGCAAGACAGGACTTTTTTTTTTTTTTCTTTTCCCCCACAGATGTGCTTTTTCATGTGCCAGATTGATATGCATTCTTATTGTGAAGAACAAATTAAAACCAGCATAATGCGATTCTGACAGCACAAAATGTGTTGCAACTTAGGGATGAGACTAAAATACCTAAGTTTTTGAGCAAGCTGACATGGCTGGGGAGTGTAGAGTTGAACTTCAGCAAAAGCAGAGTCAAACACATAGGTTTTCTGACTTCCACCTGTGTGCAGCAGTTAGGTTTGAGGTATTTGGAGCATCTGAGAAAAATGAGACTATGTTACTACTCTTTTAGCCTTACTAGTATAATGATGTGTCTTTAAGGGTAAGATGACAGCAGAGTATTTTGCTTGTGGTGTAGTCTGTCACATGAACATTTGGGCAAAATTAGCAATTCTGAGCTCTGATGAGATCTTGTCAGTTATTCAATACGTCTTCCAATTTAAGGGCAAACTTGTTTTCTCATCTTCCTCTTTCTCCTATCATCTCAACTTGAGAAGATCTTTCTCTCAACAACTAAAGAAGATTTTTCTTCTTTATAAAAATCTGGTGAACACAGCAAGTATGTCCCAAGGACCAGCCATGGGATCAGACAGTGTCTAACCAGACTGTCTGCATGTACGGACCCTTTCACCCCCGCGTAGGTAGTTGTGCCAAGCTGTTGTGTTCTAGCACGAAGAAATGCAGTATGTGTGTAAGTGTGGCTGGATGGAGTGCACGTGGGAGACTTCCCAAGTGCCTGCAAGGCTCCTCTGTTTTTGAGAAGCCAGTGGTGCTGGCAGCAGGTCTTTCTATCTGCTCCTGTGGTGAAATCAAATCCAAAAGTCCAGAGACCTGTAACCATTGATGAGAGGGATGTGAGTTAGTGCTAACAACCTAGATGTTTGTGGAAGTGTTGCCTAGTGAACTTACCAAACTCTTCAGGTCATATGCTTAACAGGGGCTGCAACAATTAGTAATATCTGTGGGAGTGCTTCTGGCACTTCTTTCTACAAAGAGTTTATGTTCCTGAAAACTCAGCTGGAGAAATTATAAAGCTAGACCTTACTTTCTCCCTCTTGTTTTGGCACTCATGTTTGACTTTTACCCTATCACAAAGTTCAGTGTTGCATTAGTCCAGCCTAATACAGCATAAAATTTTTATCCATATAATTTTCTGGGTTCAGCACTCTTTTTTTTTTTTTTTTTTACTTGCCTAGGTTTGTGTTGTTTTGGTTTTGTTTGTTTGGTTTTAGGGGAATTCTTATTGAAACCAGTTGGCATCTTTGCAGTTTGGCACTTTACTGGGCGATTGGCCACACAGCAGCTGAGATGTAAAAACCAGGATTGTGCTTAGAGTATCCTACATATTTTTAAACTTGAAATATTTAAAGAAATACTTTTACCTTTTTTGGTGGTTGTTGCTTGTTCTTTAGAGAACGCTTTCTTCTTCCCAATTTCTCAGTGCAGTGTTGCTGTGTTAGTATTTCTAAGGCAGCAGGGGAATGTTTACATCCAAACAAAATCTGTTTTCTTTAAATTTTTTAATTGCAAACATTTGTCCGTAAAATCCTTTCCACAAAACTCAGTCACTGTTTTTAATCTTTTTGGTTCTGCGCAAAGGCTAAAATTCGGATAACATTCAGGGTTTTTGTTTGGTTTTATTTTTTCTTTTCTGAACCATGTAATACGAGCATTGTACCTGCACCTTCATCTCCGGGTGCAGAAAATGCCCCTTGCCACTTGAAATGGCAGTCCTAAGGATCTGAAGTCAGGGATGGTTGTCTAACATCAGAAATAATTCTTACACTGGCTATGGATATTTTAAGTGCCATCTGCCTTGCTGATGTTCAGAGGGTTCATAAATGCCCTGTACTATCTCAAATGAGATTATGGGAAGTTCTGAGCCTGTATGAAGTCTCAGCCCATGCCTCTGTGTGGCTTGTTCTGTAGAGGCAGTCGTACGCAGGGTGTGCTGGTGTTAGCTGATGGGGCTGGTTAGTTGATGAGCTGCAAGACAACATGGTGGCAGAGAAGCTGGACTGTGTGGTCCCCTATAGATGTCCCTGGCATAAACAGACACAAGACCTCTCCTTGAAATGTGTAACGTGGGCCAAGAATTCATTCCTCCTCGCTTGGGCATTCTGGCATTTATACCTGGCATCATACCTCACTCAGCTCCTCTGTTGTTTTTGTTTTTGTTTTTTTTTTTTCACTCCATAACAGTCAAATATCACTCACATCACTGCTTGGAAGAAAGGAGTACCACCAGGGTATGCAGATGGTTTCCTACTGTATATGTCTGCCATGGATGATCCATTCAGTCCTAAGCAAAAAGACCTTTTTCCCCCTTAGGGCTGGGGAATGAAGTTTATGCAAGTACTTAACAGAGGTGCTTGGGACTACAAATGTTAGTAACTCTGGATTCTGGAGAATAAAATAAAGACCAGTTGGACATTGGCAGATCTAT